TTCACCAATTTATTCAACATGAAAAAAGGGAACTATTTAATGAATTAATGTTATATTCTAGAAATCCTTTTAAGGATATATTCTCTGAATTCATGTTAATAAAAAAGTTAGAAACATTAAATTTATACAAGCACCCCAAGTTATTTACAATATCTAAACAATTAGATGAAGTTGTTGTTCGTGGTTATACAACATTAAAAGAAAATATAATTGAAGGTTGCCTTTGTAATATAAAACATCAACTTAAAAAGTTTTTTGAATCACCAAATGTTTTGAAGGCGACTTTACAAAATATTGAAAGTATCAAATCGTGTAATAGGCTTAATCACTTTATAAATTGAAATCTATGGAAAAGTAAAATTAGTCAATTTAATAATGAAATGTTTCCATTATTTCTTTATTTTGATTCTTTTCAAATAAATAACCCTCTTGGGGGCCATCAGTATTCAGTTTGTGGTATATATTTTTCAGTTCCAGTAATTCCACAAAACCAGTTATCTCATCAAAGCACCATTTTTGTTGCGGGTTTTGTTAACGCAAAAGATTTATCACACTTTGGTAATCACCAAACTCTCAAATACCTTATTGATGCCATTAAAGATCTAAGTACAAATGGAATTGACATTAGCATAGATGGAACCATTACCACTATTTACTTTTGTATAGGTCAAATTTTAGGGGATAACTTAGGTTTAAACGAAGTTTTAGGTTTTAATTCAGGTTTTAATAGTAAATATTTTTGTAGATTTTGTTCAGCTTCAAAAGAACACTGTCAAACAACATTTGTCGAAATTGAAGAAAATATTCGCAATAAAAGCAGGTATAGATCAGAAATAGAAAACCTTCAAATGAATGGGGAAGAAATATCTGCCGTTAGAGAAGACTCTATGGAATACAGTTCCCTTCTTTCATGTTACTGACAACAAAATGTGCGATATTATGCACGATATATTTCTTGGAGTCGCAAAATATAATATACATAAAATCTTAAATTATTTCATATACGAAAAGAAGTTTTTTACTTTGGAATCTTTTAATTATAGGAAACAAATGTTTGAATATGGGCCTACAAACACGAGAAATATAAGTCCACCATTTACAAAAATGCAACTAAAAAATTGTAATATAAATATGAATGCATCTGAAATGAAACTTTTCTTGCATTGTGTCCTATTAATAATTGGAGATTTAATTGATGAATCGGATATTGTATATGAGTTTTTAGTAACTTTCGTGGAAATTGTAGACATCGTTTTATTAGAAGAATTTGACGAAGCAATTTTAAAAAAATTACAGCTTTTGATCGCTAAACATAACAAATTTTTTGTTGAATATTTTGGTGAAAAATTAAAACCGAAATATCACTTCATGGTTCATTATATTTCTGCAATAAAATCCGTGGGTCCACTCAGGCATTTGTGGTGTTTTAGATTTGAAGGAAAGCACGCATTTTTCAAAAAATGTGCAAATGTTATTACTTCAAGGAAAAACATTCCATACACATTAGCTATAAAGCATTCCCTTACATTTGCATCAAATTCGTTAGAAAATAATTTCTTTCAAAAGGATATATCTGATCTTAAAGAAGTTGCACAAGTTGATCTAACTCAGTTCAATTTTTATACAAACTTATGCACAAACTTTACTATTGGGTATGAAGTCAATAGCTTATCTTACAAGGGTATAATATATGAAAAAGGTAGTTACGTACGATGGAACAATATTATATGTATTATAATAACAATATTTTATGAATCGACTAATGACTTTTATGTGATAGGTCAAGAAATTAATACTGTTTTTTCAAATAAATTTCAATCCTACAAATTTTTAAACAAATGTAATTGTTATTATATTAAATTAATTAGTGAAGTTTCTTATCCTATTAAACAATGTACATTAAATAATGGAGAGGTTATGTTAAGATTTTAAATTAATTTGCTTAAGAGTAAGAAATTTCTTATCTATTATCTAATACCTAATGTATCTTATGTAATAAATTATCTAATATAAATTAAATCTGTGTTCAATTCTTTAGGTATTAACAAAATAAAACATTTATACATACAACTACTGTGTTATATCTTATTTTTGATTTAGTATCTTAATTTAACGTAACATATTACGACGACAATTTATTTAGTAGAATTAACAAATTTTTACTGTAAAAACAAAAGTTAAAATTCTTGAAATGACAAATAAATTGTTATTTAGTCAAAAACGATTAATTGTTATTTTAATTAATAAACTTGTTATGGTAACAATTTCGTCAAAAATGTTTACATTGTTGTGAGAACTGCTAGACATTGTTGGGTACAATATGACTCAGAAAAATACTTGAAACAAAAGTCAAAATTGTTGATATTACAACTTTTTTTTTTCAGTGTAACAACATGGTCGGAACTACGAAATATATTAAAAAAGCATTATGGCGACAAAGGAACAGCGATGAACTAATGGATAGCTTGAAGACTCTAACATTATATGGGACAATAGAAAATTATTACTTTCAGATAAATAAATTAGTATCAAGATTAAATAATAGGAACCTTGATGGGACTTACACCACAAGTGAAATAAATAGAATTGCCTTAAAAACATTTAAAAACCATTTACCAGAACCAACAAAAACCCTAATAATTGCTCGAAACCCAGCAGACTTAGAAGAAGCTTATAAAATTATTATTGAAGCTAGGCACCAAAATTACACACAATTCGGTCTACCAAGTAGAAATAACAATAATAGAATAAATACTAATTTCAGTGATAACTATATAAGAAATAACAACAGTAGAAATATAAAATATAATAATAATAATAGAAACCCTAATAACAACATAAATAACCATTACCATAGTAATAATAATAACAGAATTAATAATAATAATAACCCACACACAGAAAAATATGTCACATAAAATTAAAAAATTTTGCCTGCTTATATTTGTTTGTAGGCAAAGGGGAAAAAAGGAGATAAAAAAAGGAAAAAAATGAGAAGAAAATCTTCTTATTTTTCTATGGGAAATCTGCTTGATTTTGTTAAAAAGAAAGTCATCTTAAAATTAAAAGATAGCCACATAATTCGCATTTTTGGTTGAATTTACTTTATATTATATTTTATTGCAGTTTTAGTCTGGGTCTGCCGTTCTATTATTCTTGAGTTGCTTCTACTTTGCAAATTACGCTTTAGTGTGTGTTAAGTTTTTAAATAATTTTTTGTTGTTCGTATAACTGGATATTTTTTTTTTTAGTTCCATGAATATTCACATAATCTAACTTATAGTGAAACTTTTAATATATTTTTTTTTAATATATTTTCATAAAATTAAATCGAACATGGAAAATAATTCATTTAATATAAAATTTTATGACGCTGAAACTTTGCCCATTTTTAAATCATGGGGACTAGGCAGTGAAATTTGTTCTATTCTTTTAGAGCATGGACTTGATTCCAAGTTCGTCTTATCCAAAATGGAAATAGAAGACGTTGAGTCGTTGTTTAACAAATTAGGAACATCTCATTTTGGAAACGGATTAATATTTAAGGCCGGATTGAGAGAGTGGCGAAAAGAAGCGGTTTGTACCAGATAACATTGATACGATTCACATGGATAACATACATTTCTTCAGAATATTCCTTTTACATGTGACAAGGATACAATGTCCGAAAATAGCCGAATCTTAGAATGGTTAGAAAAGATCTCCGATGATCTAAATGAAGTTCGAACATCTAGAGAATCCACGCCCATTGTCCAACCCTTACAAGAATATTTTGTCCCTCACAGTGAAAATGTTGTTAACGTGTTGAAAAAAACTGTGAATGGACAACTTGTTTTAAGTTTTCACGAAAAAAATGGACATTTAGACACCAAAAATCAGAAAGTTTTAACCCATTGCATTGTGGACCAATATGTGAGGGATAATGTCAAGATGACTTATTCTGATATGAGGCAATGGGCTGCAGCCATCTGCGAAGTCTTTCCTAAAGAAAAATCGGTTGTTATTATATTATTTATATTCACTTAAACATATCTTAAATATTGAAAGAATTAATTTTCAAATTTAGGAAACATATTTTCTTGCACGAAAACCCGGAAAAAAGAACCCCACAGGAAAATTGTACTCACGATGGACAAATTCAGATAAAGAGCAAATTAAATTTAAAGGTGTCAGCGCGGAACACATTTTTGAGACGCCTATCAGTTTTGGTAAAAAATACATTATTTGTCTAAAAATTCATTTATATAGATTTTTGCGAAAAAAAGTGTTGGCTTCAGCACAACTGTAGTCCATGGGAGACAGTAAGAACTTTTTGGAAAGAGACATCGGCGTATAGAATATCAAACCTTAAAAGTGATGACAGCCTGAGCACCTTTTTTGATGAATGGCCACGCTTAACTGATTTCAATGGCTATGAATTAGTAAGACTCCATATTTCAGTTTATTATGTTTTCTGCATGTATTTATATTAATATCATTAATCTTTGTTTTTCTCAACAGATCGATATTGATTTCGAAACATTATATCCCGGAACTGGAAATTTACTATTTTTAAAACTAGATAGCTTTTATAAAAAGTTGGTAACAATTTTTAAAGCAGATATCAAAGACATAACTTCTAAAGAGCTTATGTTAAAACATCTATTTAAAGACGACATCTCCAAGGTATGAAAGCACTTTTATATTGTAAAAATTATGTTTACATTACTCTTTGTATTTAATCACCATCAAACAATATTGTACAAAGATAACAATTAATTCACTATTTTTGTTAACAGATTCAAAATATTGCATAAGTACACTGTTACTTCATTCCTTACTTCAACCTCTCCGCCAAAGTAAGAACGAAAAACCGACAATAGCAGACGCACAAGCTGATTTCGTAACGCTTGTAACAACACCAAATGATATTGAGCGTAAAATTGAGGAATTAATAAACAGCTATGCTAGTCGAAAGGAGAAATTACAGCCTCATATCTTAGTTGTTGGACCTGATTTCTGCAAGATATCTGAGTTTTATGTGTTTTGTGATGGAATTAAATGGAGATGCTGCTCATACATGAAATGTGTGGATTGTGTAATTAAGCTAAGTTATGTTTATAAAATTAAGTATTCGCACAACAGCAAGCAAGTTTGGGCATTTTTGGAACAAAACTTTTTTGAATTAAAATCTGAAGAATAATTATAAGTAACGCTTTTTATAAAAAATTTCAAAAAATTTGTTGAAACAAATAACTATTTCAAACGTTTTTAGATTTAATTTTTTTTTAGAATAAATTCCTAATTAATTTAGAATTATGTAGTTATATAGCAAAATATTGTAGTTTATATATAAATAAAAAACTTTTGTTAATTAATAAATATACAGATAAAGATAAAAATAATAACAAACTTTTTCTAGAAAATCAAAGGGTTAATATAGTAAGTATAAGAATAAATCCTTCTTAATATATTTAAGAAGACCTCAAACTGAAAGTAAGAAGATATTCTTCTCAATATATTTAAGAAGATCATAAACTGAAAATAAGAGGGCATCCTTCTTAATAAATTTAAGAAGACCTCTTAATATATATAAGAAGAAATTCTTCTTAATAAATTCAAGAAGACCACTAAATAAAAATAAGAAGAAAA